CGCGTCCCCGTCGCGATCGTCCCCAGCTTGGCGCATCCTTCCGCGCGTCAGCCCCCCGCCCCCCGCCCGCCCCAGGTGTGCATCAAGGGCTCGGACCACGGCCGCGCCATGTGGACTGCCCACGAGGACCAGCTCATCGAGGAGGGCGTCCGCCGCTTCGGCCTCAAGTGGCGCCAGATTGCCGCCTCGCTGCCCGGCCGGTCCGACTCGTCTGTCCGCAACCGGTGGATGCGGCTGCAAAAGGAGGCGGCGACGCTGCGCGCGGCGGCGGCGAACAGCGGGAACGAGATCCCCCTCTCCGCCCTCCCCGCCACCAGCCGCCGCCGAGGCGCGGGCCCCGTCGTCCCCTCCAACAGCTTCTCGCTCGGCCTCCCTCCCCTCGCGGCCGCCTCGGTGGTCGACGAGTCATTCGACGCGCCGATCGGGGTCGCGGCGGAGCAGCTCGCCTCGTCGATCGAGCAGCGTTCCTCGCCGCTCGACAACTCCGTCTCGATCCGCCTCCCGCACGCTGCTCCCTCGCCGCCTTCCCTGCCCGCCTACGGCGCGCACCAGCAGCCGGCGGTGGTCTCGGTGCCCGTCATGTCGCAGTTCTTCACGTCGCAGTTCGAGGCCCCGCCCACCCTCCCCACCGTCGCCGCCGCCACCCTCGACGACCCGTCGCAGAGGCCCGAGAGCGGCCTGAAGCGCGAGCGCTCCTTCGCCGGCGCCGCGCCGCCGCTCGGCGCCTCGTCGCCGCTGCTCGGCTTCGACCTCGTCTCCTTCGTCGAGGCGGTGCAGGGCGCGATCGACGAGGCGGGCAACGTGGTGGGGGAGGGCGGGGCGCCGCTCTCGAGGCAGGAGCTTGTGGACGTGAACGCCCCCTTCCGCGTCGAGGTCGACGAGCCCGCCGGCTGGCAGCTCGGCTCCCAGGGCCTCGCCTCGCCCCTGCTCGCCACGGCGTCGAGCCACGGCACTTCGCACGCGGCGTCGGAGGCGCCCTCGAGCCCGCTCGCGGCCGAGGAGGGCACCGGCGCCGGAGCGGGCGCGGCGACGCCGCGCCCGCTCCTCGCGCTCTCCGCGGTGCTCGTCGGCCTCGCCGCCCTCTCCATCGGCGTCTCGATCGCCCGCCGCCGCTAAGGCGGTCGCGGTCCGAGCGCTGCGGACCCGCCAACTCCCTTGACGAGCGGGATCCGATGTCGACTAGCCCCGCGGCGTCCTCCGTACCGCACGCCGTGGTGTCGCGAGCGCAGAGGCTAGCGGTTGCTTTCCGCTCACGGGGCGAGCGCGCCGCATGCGACACGACATGCTCTTATCGCTCGCTCGCCCTGCCAGCTGTGTGTCCACAAACATGCCGTGTTGCTCCCACAATATATGTGTGCTCTTGTAATCTACTGCGCGCGATGTATCCGCGCAGTGGGAATTGTACTAACTTACAAACTAACTTCGTGTATTCGTCTCGGTCCCCGGGCGCGCGCCGCGCGCGGGGGTTTTGGACATTTCCTCTTCTGAAGTGTGAAGACTCACACACGCGCGAGGTGCACATGGGACATACCAAACTCGCTCCTCTGACCTCTCCCGTGAGCCGTGTCGTCGCCGTGTGTCCCGACTCCTCCGTCCTCCCGGCGCCTCGCGGCTCGCGCCCCCGGCTCACCTTCGTCCTTCGGCGGGGACCTGACTGATCAGAATCTCATCACTGGGGGGTACACACGAAGGCAGCCTATATCTGGGCGCCTCCGCCCACCCCAATAACCGTTCCTCGCAGCGGGCCTGGCGCCGTCGCGCTACGTCGCCGGCGAGTCCCCTTGGCCCGCCGGCGAGGCTGGAGGCGGCACGGCGACCGCGGGCGACGCTGCGGGCCCGAACGGCGAGCTGAGCGGCGCGGGGGCGAGGGCGCCGGGCGAGGGCGGCGTCGAGGAGGCAGCCGACGAGGCGCCGCCCGACATCTTGCCGAGCATGGCGGCGCGGGCGGCTCGCTGGCGGTCGAGCAAGGCGAGCGTCCTCGCCTCATCCTCCGCGAGAGCCTGGAGAGGGGGCGGGGGGTGGGGGGGTGTGTGTGGGGGTGTGTGTGTGTGGGGGGGGCGGGGGAGGGTCGCCAGGGTCTTCATGG